AAATGTGTCACATATACACATGGAATACTATGCAAGCATAAAAAACGATGAGTTTGTGTCCTTTGTAGGGACATGGATGAATCTGGAAACCATCATTCTCAGCAAACTGACACAAGAACAGAAAATCAAATTACAGGTGCCCGCCACCATGCTTGGCTAATTTTTGTATTTTTAGTAGAGATGGGGTTTCACCATGTTGGCCAGGCTGGTCTTGAACTCCTGATTTCAGGTGATCTGCCTACCGCGGCCTCCCAATGTGCTGGGATTATAGGTGTGAGCCACTGCCCCTAGCCTCCTGCAGATATTCTTAATGAGAATACAGAAATGTTTACAACAGTTTGGTTCTGCATCATTCTTCTGGTGACAGTGATTGTGTTTCCCTAGGTGCACAGTGGAATGCAGTGTCATCCAGTCTATTTAGGATGAGGCCAGGGTCCATCTGTGCTATTGTGGACTTGCTGAGCCCAGTGCTCCCGTGTGTGGGCTATAGGAAGGTGGGAAGGTAAATAGTGAGATGGGGCCTCCTCTCTGTAGTGTGTTTGGGGGTTGACAGGAATGGGGAGATGGGAGGGACCCAGTTCTTCTCAGGACACAGCTCAGCTTGCGCGACTTCTGGATAATGGGGCTGTGGAGTGATTTCTGCTTTTTTCTCTCCTGGCTCAGAGCTTTCTGCAAATAGGATTACTGCTGTTCTTTAGTAATTTGCATTACACTTTAGGAGCATATAGAGTATTGCTTTCCCCTGGGTTTAAATCAATTAATGAGCACCCACCAAATGCCAGTCGCTGGGCCAGGTGCAGGGGATGTGAGGGAGAAGGAGTGGCAGACACTTCTTTGGGGCCCTTGCAGTTGGCTGGTTGGGGGACTGGCTGGTGCTTGAGAGCAGTGACCAGGGCCATGAGCCCTGTGCGTGGTGCTATTTGTAGCAACTGGAGAAAGAAGTGGAGAATATGCCGAGATTGGGGGTGGGGGAGCGCTTCCCATCCACAGAGGAGAGGACTTGCTTTCTGTTTCCTGCATTCACTCTGCTCAATCCCATGAGTCATGAAGAGAGCATGGGGCAGGTGATGTCCTGTGCTCTCAGATGTCCCCTCTGTTGGAATGCCAAGAGACAGGGAAGCCTTGCTGTTCATGTGACAACAGCCAGAGGCAGGGTCACCAGCCTCTAGGACACTATCTCTTGGTGGCTTTGGAGTGTGAATTTGTGTGGTTGGTAGCTGGGATGGGGTGTGAGTGTGACTTCTCTTGCCTCCCTCTCTGGCCGAGCAACCAGCAGGGCCATTGAAGTGGAGGGTGGGGTGGAAGGGTGGGGGTCTTCTGTGATGGTGAGAGAAATTGGGGTAGAGGAATGACTGCGAGCAGTTGCCAGGTCCTGAGGACAGGTTTGAGGAGGAGTGGGAGAGCTGGATGGCACAGCCCTAGAATGTGGAAGAGCAACAGGAGGCTGGAGATGGCCCCTTTGTCCCTATGGTGCACTGAGCCAGGAGATCAGGCCAGAGGACAGTCGCCTCCTCTCAAGAGGGTTATGGGGGAGGAATGTTCTTGGGTATCTCCAGAAGGGCAGTAAGTTGCCCGTTTTCTTTGCTGTTGAATCTCAGGTAAGGCCCCTCCTGTTGTGGGAATGGGCGAAGGGGTAAGGCAGGAGTAGGTGGCACCAGCAGGCAGCTGGGGCAATCCTGTAGCCTGTGGACCCAAAAGAAAGAGCAGGTTTGGGGGCTGGGGGTGGTAGGTTCCATGGGAGATTGGTGGGCATAGTGGGTTGGAGCTGCAGGGTCCAGCCAGTTATTCCTTCTGCTGCTGCTCATCCTCCTGCATCTGGAAACTAGTGCCCCTTCATAAAGCATGAAGCATTCTTAGCTGCTAGTGACCTGGTGGTATCCCTCCTGTCTGGTCTTGTCCCTGCCAGCTGTCCACCTTAGCTCCTCACATTCCTGGCTGTTTCATGCTTGCTGGCTTTGTCATCCCTCTACCTCCTCCTCCTCACTTCCCCTCGCAGGATCATCCTCATCTTAACAGATCTGGCATTAATTAACTCATTCGTTCATTCCACTGACACTTATTGCCGCCTGTTGAGTGCCAGGAGTGGCTGCTGGGCACTGCCACCTGCCAACCCCCAGGCTGGAGGGTGATCCTCATGGATGCCCCTTTGGCTGCTTGTTCTGTGCAGCGTAGCAGCACAGGCTTCGGATTTTGTGGACACACTTGCAATCCCTCTGAGCTTCAGTTTCTGCATCTGTAAGGTGGGGATGATCACACCTGCTGGAGAGGGTGGCTGCAAGCCTGACGTGCTCTGACCTGGGAAGCATCTAGCCCAGGGCTTGGCCCACTCAGAAAGGAGGCACCCGGCTGCCACTGCTCATCCTCTGTGTGGAAGTCTCTGACAGGGGAAATTGGAAACGCAAAGGCCAGCAATGGGGAACACTGTCAAATTCCTCCACGTATTTTTTGCCCACTAGCGCAAAGAAGACACTTGTTTTTCTGTTTTTTGTTTGTTTGTTTGTTTGCTTTTGTTTTATTTATTTATTTATTTTAAGGCTGTGCTAGGTGGGAATATCTGTAAGGCAAGAGTGCAGATCTTGGGGAGAGACTTCAAACAGCATCTTTTACTCACCAAATGCAGCACGTATTCTGGAATGCTGTGGCCCTTGCTAGTTTGGGGATCATTGCCCCAGGCACATCAGCCATCAGGATGCCTTTACCCACCCCTTCCCATACTCCCAGGGTTTCCTTGTGGTTGGATGATGTGAAGCACTTCATCCCAGAGACAGAGAACTTCTCACCAGACTACCTTTCAGTTCTCAGCTCAGCTCAACACTGTTCTCTCCAGGGCACAAATTGCCAAGGCCACAGAAGGTAGGGAGTCAGCAGCAGGAAGTAAAGCTCTCCTGTCACCAAGACTGCTCTCCTTGTTCCCACCCACCTAATCTACCTCTTCTCCCCAGGCTTCACTAAATCCTACCTCTTTCTCAAGGCCACCCTCAACTACTTCAGTGTGATGCCCACAGGGGCACAAAGCCCCATCAGCTTTTTGCTGTAAAGTGGTAATTTATGGTAGACCAGTACTTCTGAAAACAACTAGAAGAAGCTGAGTAGACTCTAAATAATATGTAAGAAGACATTTAAACAGCTAGCCAGAACTTGTGGGGTCAAGACCCTGAAAAAAAGGAAAATTATTTGAAGTGATCCCAGCATTCTCTGAGGATTTTCCCTTTGAGGAATGTGTTGATTCATAAGTAGCAAAGACTGCTTTAAAGTTACAGTATTCCCACAATGATAGACAAATAGATCAGTGGAACAGCATAGAATCCCAAAGCATACCCAGACACATGCAGTGGGACAAGATTTGTCCTTTCAGTAAATGGTACTAGGCCAGTTGGGTATCCACATGGAAATAAATGAATCTTGACTCTTATCTTGCAGTAGGTACAAAACTCAATTCCAGATGATTCATCAAATTAAAGGTGAAAGGTAAAACAATAAAGCCCCTAGAAGATAACAAAGGAAAATATATTTACAACTTTGAGAAGGCAAAGATTTCAATACAGGATAGGAAAACGCTAGCCATAAGGGAATAAATAAGATAATTTGGAGTACATTAAAATTAAGATCTTCTGTTCATCAAAAGATATGAGTAAAAAGCAAGTTACAAAATGGGAGAAAATATTTACATATTCTCTCTCTGTGTGTGTAAATATTCAACAAAGGACGCATATTCAAAATATTTAAAAGGCTTCTTAAATAAGAATAAGACAGTTCAATAGAAAAATGGGGAAGAGACTTGAATAAGTACTCCATTCAAGATGGTACCCAAATGACCAGTAACCTTTATTCATCAGAGAAATGCAAATTAAAGCTATAGTGATACTACTGCATACCCACCAGAATAGTTAAAGTGTAAAACCATGACAATTTTAAGGGTTGGAAAAGCTGTGGAACAAAAAGAACACCCATATACCCACTTTTCAACAACTCTTAGGTAGTTATGAAGCTGAACATATGCATGTGACCTAGCAATTTCACACCTAAATAAAAACTCAACAGACATGTATGTATATGTGCCCAAGAAGGCATCTACAAAAACAGAGCAGTCTGTGTGATAGCAAAATGATGGAAACAACACAATGTTCATCAACAGTGGAATTGATACTTATAAAATATTCATATAATAGAATACTGTACAGTCCTGAAAATGAATGTATGGTTACATCCTGCAACATCACGGATGAATCTCACAGACATATAGCTGCATGAAAGAATCTAGACACAGGAGAGTACCTAATGCACATTGATAGATCAAGTCATAGTATAGGGAAAACTAATTTATAATTTTCTAAGTCAAGATAGCAGTTTACCTCTGTAGGGAAGGGGGTTTTGACTGGCTGGGAGTGGTGGGGGCCTCTGGGTGCTAGTAATGCAATGGAATATTTCCTTATCGGAGTGGTAGTTATATGAATGTGCTCACTGTGAAATTCATTGATTTATATAGCTTTCTAAATATGTTATACTTAAATAATAAAGTTTACTTAAAAATAGATGGAAGCTATTGATATAGAATACGTTGGCTTCTGTCATTTGGGAATTTGCTACCTGGAAGAGGAGAAGTGATAAGAAAGTCCCGGAATTTTTTTCAGATACTTTAACTTGAAGGTTATACAGTGGCAGGTTTGTCCTTATCCCTGAGTGCATCGAGTGCCTTAGCACTGTGGTCTCTAAGGAGCATGAGGACCAGGAAGCAGCAAAATAGCCATTTCTGTGGCCCTTTGTCTCCTTCAGAGACACTAGAGCTCCACCATCTTGCTTTATCCATAATAGATGGTGCTGGCAGTGGGCAGGGTGTTGTGGGCTGAAGGAAGGAATCCAAAAGCTTCTTTTCTTCTCTCTTTCTCCTTCTCTTTCTTCCCTCTCTTCTCTTTTTACTCTGTTGCAAAGAGGAAGAATTTTTGCTAGGCAGCCTACACCCACAGATTAAAAGACAAAAGGACATTTACTTAAAGGACAGATGTAAATTAGTGTACTGGGACACAAATGCTAAGACTTCAGAATGTTGTAGAACCTAGACCCAGTGGGCAGTGCAGAAAGTTGCACTGAGCAGGCAAGAATTCCATTGTCAGAATCTGAACAAGAAGTGTAAGAAACTTTATCCAGGGAAAGAAAACCTCATTTGGTTTAACAGCACTGATTCCTGCATGCCAGGGCATAGCTGGCTCCTCCATGCGGGTGTTTATCTTTGCAGTGGTATTGGCTGGGATCACTCAGCAGCCAAGCCATGTCTAGCTTCCGTGAGCATGGTGGTCAAGTCAAAATAAAAAAATGTCTTTTGCGAGCCCTGGGGTTTTTAGTCTGGCCCCTTCTTGGTAATGGGAAAGCCAAGGAAAGAAATAACAAGAAATCATTGAATTTATGGGAATAGAAAGATTCAAATATGCCTGCCAGTGGCATAATTAGATTGACTTCTAAGTCAGATTTTTTCTTCATATTTTCCTTGTTTTCAAGCTAACCAGATGAGTTAAAAACTTATTTATTCTTAAAAATGGCCTAATAGAACTTGCTCTTGATTCTTTTTTAGTGCTGCTTCTCATGTCTGAAGTCAGAACTAAAAATTCTGTTCACTGATTTAACAGACAATATGTTTAAATGGTATAGACTTTTCTCCACATATTTCACACGTATAAAGTACTTCAGGCCAGGAGCGGTTGCTCACATGTTGTAATCCCAGCACTTGGGGAGGCTGAAGCGGGAAGACCTTTTGAGCCCAGAAGCTTGACACTAGCCTAGGCAACAGAGTGAGACCCTGTCCCTACACAAAAATAATTAAAAAATATTAGTAGTCGCAGGTACTTGGAGGCCAAGGAGGGAGGATCACTCGAGCCCAGGAGTTTGAGGCTGCAGTGAGCTATGATCACGCCACTGCACTCCAACCTGGGCAATAGAGTGAGACCTTGTCTCTTTTATTTTTAGAGTATAAAAAATATAAAAGGTCCTTCAAATGGCTACACTTCTTGAGAAAATAATACTGAATTACTTGGTTTGTGAAAAAGCCTAAAGAAGGTCGTGGGCTTACGACAGAGAGACTCAGTCCAGTGTCTGTGTTGCACCCTGCGTTTTCTCAGCTCGGACTATGGCATTTTACCTCCGGTGATTCAAGAGGTTTGCCCTTGCCGGGACCAGTTATCTTGGAACCAGACAAAAATAGGCACAAAATCAGTTGCTTTCAGTGATATCTCTGTCAAGTACGTCATGAGGTTTCTTTGAATTGGGAGATTTTCCTGCTAATTTAGGAAGTAGCTGAGGAGGCTCTCCAAGGCAGCTCAGATGTTTCCCCAATTCCCCAAGAATGAATCTTTTCCCTCAACAATGCTGAAATCATTGACTTCATAACCTGTGTTTTGATTTTTAAAAACTGTGTTCATCAAAGATAAACCCACTGAAGTACTGGCAGAGCCCCATTTGAGTTTTTGTGAAGATTAGATGAATTGATTCAGGAAAGGCATCTAGACTGATGCTTGGAATGCAGTAAATTCTCAAAAAATGGCTTGTGTATAGGTATTAGCTTCATGCAAATGTAATTGTGGTCTTTGCCATTACTTTCAATAGCAAAAACCGCAATGACCTTTGCACCCACCTAATATATTGTGAGCCACTGCCAGATAGTTTACCTACAAAATCTCAGCTCCTCACAATGACTCTGCAAGGTGGTTGGTATAGTATTTCTCATTTCACGGATAAAGAAGAGCATCAGAGAAGTTAAGTAATTTGGGTGAGGTCACACAGCTGGTGAACAGCAGTGTTGGGGACTGAACCCAAGTCTTTCCTGTCCACTGCCATCATCTCTCTTTGTTTCTCAAATTGAGTTTGAGCCTCCTGTAAGGTTTGTAGCAGTTTTCTTGTGGGATGGAGTTGGGGGTATGACTTTTACAGTTTGAAAAGTACTTCTTTGTGCTCGAGGTTGACAAATATTTTCTACTAAGGGCCACAAAGTAAGTGTTTTAGGCTTTGTGGGCCATACAGTCTCTGTTCCAATGACTCAACTCTGTCATTGTAGTGTGAAGCACCACAGGCAATACTTAAACAAATGTGTATGTCTGTGTTCCAATAAAGCTTTATTTATAGAATTAGGCTATGGGTCAGATCTGGCCCATGGGTTGTACTTCTGTTCTCTTCAAGCCCCCAACATCCTTAGGTGCTTCCGCTTTTCTATTAACAGCATCACTCTCTGTCTTCCTGGAAGCTTTCCACTTTTTCTGTTCATATGTCAAAGTCATGCCCTTTACTAATGTTTGAGAGCTGCCATGTGCTGGGCACTGGGGAGAGGGCAGTGGCCAGGACAGAGTTTCTGACCTCATGGACCTGGTATCTGGTGGGAGACAGGTGTTTGGCAGGTGGTGACGATAAAAGAATAGATGAAGGGGATAGAGAGTGACAGGTATCCTTTTTCATGTGGGGTAGTCCAGGAAGGACTCTGAAGATAAGGCAATGGAGCAGAGTCCTACAGGATAGGATAGAGGAAACCACATAGCTCTGGGTGAGGTGCGTTCTGGGTGGGGGGCATGGCAAATGCAAGGGTCCTGGCGTGGGACTGTGCCTAGTGTGTTTGAGGCACAGCTGGGAATCCAGAGTGGCTGGAGTGCAGCAAGCAGAAAGAGGAGCTGTGTGAGGGAGTCAGACCAGGAAGAGGAAGTCCGTAGGGCCTGTGTGTCATTGTAGGGCTTACAGGGGGCAGCCACAGGGGAGTTTTGAGCAGCAGAGTGTTCTGATATGACTCATACCACAAGGGATCCCTCTGGCTTCTGGGTGGAGAGAACCTGTAGGGTGATTAGGGGTGGCTGCCAGAAACCTCATTAGGTGGATGATGTTGGGAGAAGCCCATAGATTCCTGAATATATCATGAAGACAGAGCCATGTGTTTTCCCAGTGGATTGCAGTAGAAAGTGAGAGGAAGAGAGGGATCAAGGATGACTTGAGGTTTTGACTAAAGCAGCTGGAAGGACAGAGTTGCCCTTTATGAGTTGGGAGACTGTGAGAGAGCAGGGGACAACAAGGCACTCATTTTGAGTGTTTAAGATGGGGCTGTCAGTTGGACTTCCAAGTGCAGATGGCCATGGATTTTCAAGTTGGGAGTTCAGGCTGGAGCCATACAGTGGGGAGCGAGCAAGGCATAGATGGTCTTAGTCTTTAAAGTCAGTGCTGGCTGACGTTGCCCAGGGAGTGAGTACAGAGAAAGGGTGGGCAAGATTGGGGGCCATTGCTTCTTCTTGCCCTGAATCCCCCACCTCTGCTGATTTCATGGCTCAATGCTCTTACCTAAAAACCACTTCCATTGCTTCCTTTCAAGTGTGTTATCCACAGAGCTACCAGGGAACCCTGGAGCACAACACCAGCTGTGTCCCTCCCCGCTGAGACCTCTGGTAGGTCTGCACCACCTGCAGAAGAGTACACAAGTATCTTTGTCTCATGTGATTTGCCCCAGTCTGTCCTGCCAACCACTCTTGCACCCTCACCCCTTAATTCTGACTTTGAGCAAAACAAAGTGAAGTACTGTTGTTCTTGCTGCCTGATCTGGTGTTCATGGCTCTTCCCACCTGGAACCCACTCCCTTACCCAAGAGTATGTAATGGCATGTAGCCACTGTGCCAAAGACTTCAAAGATCCTAGAGTGGAGTCATTGACATGGACACTTACATCTTTTAAAAAGATTTTCTCAAGATGATGAAGAAGGTGTAGTCACAGACCTGCTATGGCCCTCTCAGTCTGGGGGCTGCAGTGATGGGGTGGGGTGGTCTGGTGATGCAGGATGCTACTGGGGGATGCAGAAAGAGGAGTGCATGAGTTTCAGCTATGAAGAACTGGATCAAAGAAAGGATGAGGCCAGCTGGTACTGTAGCCCTGCCTAGTAGTAAGCAGGTTCCCAGCAATGCAACAGATGTCTTGAGGATGCGTGCATGGACCCAAGAGCCACATCCCAACAGGAGAGGAAATTCCAAGAAAGAACTAAGGCAGGGTGCCCAGGGCACCATTGGGCCCATTGCCATCAACCTGAGACTTAGAAAGGGCAAATAGCTTTTACTTGCATATGCCAAGTCAAATCAATTGATAATGCCTGCCTGGGGTACCATCTGGGGGTGAGGTCTCTGAAGAAAGAATGCAGTGATTGATGAGTCACATCTACCAGGGAAGGTGTGGGGCCAAGTGTTGGCCATTGTGAACTGACTGAGAGCTGTCCCTACTGAGTTTAGGAAGGCTGAGCATTCCCCTTTATACTCGGGAGGGAATCATGTTGTGTGAATTGCACACCTAGTTTGAAATTAGCCAACTCAACTTCAAACTAACCAAATCTATTAGTTTTTCTAAAATGGAGTAGGGCAAAAGTCACAAGTTTTCTCCTCATTCTTTGGCAGTGACCCCTAACATTACGTCTATGTCTTACATCATGGAATGAATCACATGTAAGCTTCTCAACATATGAAAACAAAGCATCTTGAGAGAAAAGATATCCAAAGTAGCAGATGTCACCAAAAGGAAATAACATTTGTGAAAGCATTCTGAGCACTGTCAAGTGCTCTGTAAATGTAAGGACTTATCATTGTGTATTGCCTGAGGAGAACCAGCTCAACCATAATGCTCACAATTACAGGACAGACTTGCCTTGTTACTTTTCCTTCCTACAATTAAATTCCTCCTCTTGGAATATGAAGAATGCCTCTGAGGATGGGCTTTGCCCAAATGGGTAGGTCCTTGCTGGTGAGGGTAGACTGAAGGCAGGGGACTGTTGTGTGCAGGGCTGAGCATCCATTGTTTTGCTGGCTGGTGTATCCGGGAGGGACCCAGCCGGTGAAAAGCTGGCTGCTGCCTCCCGAGGTAGGCCGGGTGACTTGGCTTCATGCAGGGATCCCAAGGTAGTCACCTCCCTGCTGTGCAGCCTGCTATTTATGAGCATAGTCTTTTCCCAGGAGGAAGAACTTCTTGGGATACCACATAAAGGTTAGGGGGTCTTGGTGAATGCAGCATCAGAGCTGGTATCTTTTTCTGATGAATGAGTGAGTGAGCGAGAGAGCATGGAATCAGATCAGTGGGAAGCACATGGACCTCTGTGGTCCAGAGTGAGCGTGCTCATTTGGGAGCTGGTCTGTCCTGCCCCTGCCTTTAGAGGAGACATTCCTTGCTGCTTCCCAGGCTCCTCTCTTGATATTCCTGTTTGGATGACAGCCAGATCCCACCTGCTTCTGAGTGAGAATCTCTTTGTAAGATTTCGCTTGTTCTGATTTCCACCAAAGAGGTGTGTATCCAAATCTTTTCCATTTTCTTTTGTAAGTGAGTGACACTCTAAACAATACGGTACAAATACTTTTCTCTGCTGATGTTTGAAACAGGCTACAAGATACTCTGTTAGTAAGCATTCAAAAAATGTTTGATTGACTAATAATTTAAGAATATTCAAGAGGAGGGTTTTAGTCACTGTCTCAGCCTCTGTATATACTTAATTGACCAAAGAACTGGACTGATTGTCAGAAAGTGAGCTAGAAGTGAGCCTGTCTGCTTTATATGGGGCCTCTTGTTCCTCTGAGAATATTGATGTCCGTAGATAAATGCGGCAGAATTTGCTGGCCTGAGCTCCCTGCTTTAACTGTAGGGCTTCTGTTGGGGTGTTGTTAGGGGCAGTTCGTCTGCTATAGCAGTCTGGGGCCAGTCGGGAGTGAGAAACCACACAGTGATCTAAACAGGGAAGTTTAATAAGAAGAATCACTAACTTATGCTAGACGAGTAACAATAGGATCAAAGAAAACTCTATGGTCCCCTAGGGCTGAGGGTACCAAAGGAAGGACAAACTTGGAACAGTTCTTACTGAAGAAGGTGTGGTTGGGTGAGGATGGCAGGGAAGTTCATTGGTTTAGCTGGTCATGGGGCAAACAGGAAGCAACTTCCAGAGCTCAGAAGTGGTGCGGGAGCTGCAGCTAGTGCTGGTGTATGGCCATGTGGGGGAGTGAGGTCACTGGTGCAGGCAGGATCCTGGAGTGCACACGAATAGGAGGACCATGGGAGACAAACCTGGGGGCAGGGGAATGAGTGGGCAGAGGCGATCAGTGTGTTGGTGGGCAGGAGGACTGGAGGACCAGTTGTACATACTGAGAGGTGATCTCTGGGTTGTTCTGGGGCCATGAGGTTGCTGGAAGAGGGCACCTTCTGGGTGTGGGGCTGAGGCACAGCCCTGCTGGATGCCCTCCTCTCCTCTCTACCAGTCCCTTCCTCCTGCAGCGTTCCCTCCAGCCAGAGCCCTCTTTTGAGAAAGCTTAACATTATGCTCACGGTAAATGAGAAATGCTTGAAGGAATTCCTTCCATTATTGCAGAGCATGTATTGAAGGGTGAATTTGGAGCTGAGAGGCAATACCTTGTTAACTGGCATACCTGGGTTGTCCTTCCCTGCAGCACCTGTGGCCCCAGTATGTCTGTGGGGATGTAGGCTTCCCCTTCCTCTACATTGCCCTGTTAATTTCAGAGTGTGGCTCTCCTTGCACCAAGGGGCTGGCTCTCCTTGCAAGGCTTCTCTTTAAGGCTTTGCCTTCAAAGAAGGAGACATGGTTCTCTCTCACAGGCCTGCTAACAGCTCAAGGTGAGAGGAACTGAGCTGGAGCAGGCAGGTGCTCCTGCTAGAGATGTTTGTGACTTGAGGAGCTTAACTTGACCCTGGCAGCCGCTTTATTGGCATGCTCACCCACCCCAACCTGAGCCAGGGAGTTCACAGAGACAGGCACAGAACCTGCCCAGCAGGTGCACCAATAAAGAAGCATTCCTTCCAGGAACTGCTCAAGCTGTGATGGGACCAGTTGTCTAGGATGCAGAAACACACATTTTGGTTGTGGCAATGTCAACTCTGGCTCACAGAGGGCACCCCCTCCCCACTCTCTGCATTCCCTTCAAGCCAATGCAGGTGCAAAACACTTGACAGATGTGTGTTTCTGCATCCTAGATAACTGGCCCCATCACAGCTTGAGCAGTTCCTGGAAGGAATGCTTCTTTATTGGTGCACCTGCTGGGCAGGTTCTGTGCCTGTCTCTGTGAACTCTCTGGCTCAGGTTGGGGTGGGTGAGCATGCCAATAAAGCGGCTGCCAGGGTTAGCTTTGCTTAGTCTCCCTATGCCTGGGCCCCAGCCATAGAGATTCTGACTTAGTTGATGAGAATTAGGTTGTGGCATCATCTCCCCAACCCCTTACCCCCTGCCATGTGGTTTTAATGTGCAGCCAAGGTTAGAGCCCTGATTTGAGCCAGACTCTGCCCCCTGGGCTGGGCCACCTCTTGGTTTTGCACTCTTCTGTTCACTTGTATGCGTCATTCATGTTGGCTTTGAATATTTTGAGAGCAAAGATTGTTTTCATTCTCTTTGCACCTCTGTGTCCCACACTACCCTTGGCAAATGGCAGCCTGGAACTTACACTGCACCCACCAGCCTCAGTTCCCTGGAGCAGTGGAGTTGATGGTGCCTCCAGGTTTATACCATAATTGACATAGAAACTCACTGTCTCCACTGGGAGATATGACTTTCTAGACTTCATCAGGTTCTAATTTTTACTTGCCAAAGGAGGGAGGGAGGAAATTTAGTCTCGGAGAGGATGGCTGTCCAGCAAAGACAGCTGCTGCTGGCTACCTTTGTCTTGGAACACTTGACCTGCTGACATGGCAGGGTGGTTGTTTGTCAACTGGATCTCTTCTTGAGGAGTTTATTTACAAACTGCAAAAATTCCATGTAGTCTTCACTTAATTTGGTGGATAGGATCCAAACCATTGTAAAGCTAATCCAGAGGAATGTACAGTTCTGCCCTTTTGGGTTTATAACCATTTTTGCTTTGGCAGGATCTAACATGAGCTATCATGGCCATTTCCAGATGTGAAGTCCACCATGTTTAGACAATCCAGTTGTCCTCCCTGCAGTGGGGCATGGGTGGAGTAGAGTCCTCAGTCTTCATTTAACCACAGCTCTCAAAGTGTGGTCCCTGGACCAGCAGCTTCAGTGGCACCTGGGTACTTATTAGAAGTGCAGACTTTTGAACCCACTCCCTCCCCTCCCAATCTATTAATCCTGAAACTCTGGGGGTGGGACCCAGCACTCTGTTGTAAGAAGCTCTCCAGTAACTTATCCATGCTTAAGTCTGAGAACTGCTTCCTTATCTAGTAGTCAACCTGGATAGATACCTTAACACATTGTAGTCCTGCTTGTACTTTTACTTTTCTTTTTTTTAACCCCCAAGGTTTTATCTGTATTCAGCCCTCTATTCTCCACGTGTACCTTTTGAATCAAGTCCGTATTCCTGGCCAAGGTCAGATGTGCTGCCTTTGTGAGGCCTTGACTGACCCCCTTCCTCCAGCAAGTTTGCTTGAGCTCTTGAATTTTCTCTCTCTGACCTCTGTTGCATGTGGTCCCCACATTAGTAGCACTGGGCTCTTGTTAGAAACATAAAATCCTGGCCCTGTGCCAGCTCTGTAGGTAGTTTCTATCCACTTTTAAGGTTAGGAAGCACTGATGAAACCACTCTGATTGTGTTAAAATTAGTGAGTTTTTTATGGATTACATTTTTAATAATATTCATTAGGAAAAAAATGGGACACGCAGAAGAGCCCAAGAAGCAAAGGCATCCAAGTTAAGGAGAGGCAGCTCGTTCCATAGACGCTGACATGAGCAGGGTCTCTGGGCATTATCATTAAGTACCTGTTTCACTTTTGTTCTAGGAGTGCTATTCAGATGACCTGTTCTTGAGACAGAAGCTATCCTTACAACAGCAGCTAACACACTATGTCTTACACAGAACAGGTGTTCAATAACTATTTAAGGACACAAAGAGGGGGTTTGAAGCATTTGCTGCTCCTTTAAGTGTATTGTCTCTTTCTGGAGGTTGGAGCCTCCAGAATATTAATGAGGTAGGTCAAGGCTGTTTTTGGCTGAGCTTTTCATGGCTGCTCAATCTTGATTCAGTGATCAGAATGTCTCAGTCCAGAATCTCTGTAGTTGGCTTTCCTGGGGGACAACGAAGCTTGATGAAAAACTATCGCATGTAGCTCTCATTCCTGTCCAAGACCGCTCTGTACCAGGAAACCCACTTTCTGACTTACTGGAAAAATGAACTGATAATCTGATTTAGGTTTTAGTGGAATGAGAGTGTGAATGAGAGATGGCAGGGGGAGAGAGGGAATCGTCCTGTCTGCCCCTCTGGCTCAAAGAAAGGGACTAATTTATTCCTGCAAGGAGGCCTAGCTGCTGGTGAGAGGTGTTCTGAAGTGCGCCAGGGACCACCTTCAGCCCAGCACCCTAGCTGTGTGCTCCTTTCTTTTAGCAGGAGTGCCTGAGGCCTGTCCCTACCCCTCTTGGCCTTGGGAGCAGCTGCAAATCTCCAGGGCCTGGGCTAGGCTCACGGATGCACATGGCAATTGCCTAGCACAGGGGCATCTAATCTTTTGGCTTCCCTGGGCCTCATTGGAAAAAGAATCGTCTTGGGCCACACATAAAATACACTAATACTAAGGATAGCTGATAAGCTGGAAAAAAATGCAAAAAAACTTATAATGTTAAGAAAGTTTATGAATTTATGTTGGGCCACATTCAAAGCTGTCCTGGGAGGGTGGCATGCAGCCCATGGGCTGTGGGTTGGACAAGCTTGGCCTATAGTGGAAATCGCTGTTACCTTGGAGTCATAAACTTCTAGACCTGTCCAGCATTCCCCATTGCCCAGCTTTGCTTCCTGGAGGAAGTGTCCAGTTTGCTCCACGTGGATACTGCTGCCACATCTCTGTTCCTGGCCTCCAGGTGTGCAGAAACATGGGTGCCCCGTGCTCCTCACGTGCCTCTGTTGCTAGACAGGGGTGGCTCTGAACAGTAGGCACAGAGGTACTGAAGCGTGAATGGCTCCTGCCTGTTCAGCCATTACCTTCCATGAGGGTGCATGAGGCTGTGTGAGAACCAGCTTGTACTTGTGCACATGACGGCACGGGCATTTCGCTGGGAGAACAGCAAGAATGTTGTGGCAACCTTTTAGGAATACAACGTGTTCTCACATCACACACATCTGGTGCTGCAGCATCTGCTTGGTCAGAGTATTTCTCATCAACATCTGGGAAGGATTACTCTCTGCCTAAAACCAAACTGTGTGGTGGCCATAAGAAACTGCATGTTCAGGCAGATTATAAAAATAAGTAGGCAGTGGTGCTCATGTGTGCACCTCCTTGAGGATGAGGGGTATGAAGTGTTTTCCAGGAAATCCCAAGTCCCTTCACCTTGAGTGCTGAACCAGAAAGGAATCTGAGTTGAGTCCTCTCACAAATGTGTCACTGCCTGTGACCAAAAGCACTTGGACCATTTCTGGGGCCTGAAGAAAATTTTGATTTTGACATTTTAAAGGCCATGATTATAGTCTGCTTTTTGGCTGTACAATATCTCTAGATCTCAATAAGATGGTGACTGATGACAGATCTGAATCTCACAGATGATAATCTATAAATTTAGATTTCACAGTGGCTTCTCACTAGAAAATAGACTATGTTTAAAATGTTCATTGACCATCCTCAGCAACCTTAGATTGAAAATTAATTTCAGCAGAGCATGGTGGCTCACGTGTGTAATCCCAGCACTTTGGGAGGCCAAGGCAGACAGATCACCTGAGGTCAGGAGTTCGAGACCAGCCTGGCCAACATGGCAAAACCCCTTCTCTACTAAAAATACAAAAAAAAAATTAGCCGGGCGTGGTGGCATGTACCTATAATCCCAGCTACTTGGGAGGCTGAGGCAGGAGAACTGCTTGAACCCAGGACATGGAGGTTGCAGTGAGCTGAGATTGTGCCATGGCACTCCAGCCTGGTCAATAAGGGCAAAAACTCCATCTCAAAAAAAAAAGAAAACTAATTCTAGGCTGGGTGCTGTGGTTCACGCCTGTAATCCCAGCCCTTTGGGAGGCTGAGGTACGTGGATCACTTGAGGCCAGGCGTTTGAGACCAGCCTGGCCAACATGGCAAAACCCCATCTCTACAAAAAATACAAAAATTAGCTGGGTGTGGTGGTGCACACCTGTAGTCCCAGCTACTCGGGAAGCTGAGGCAGAGAATTGCTTGAACCCAAGAGGTGAAGGCTGCAGTGAGTTGAGATTGTACCACTGCACTCCAGCCTGGGTGACAGAGTGAGATTCTGTCTCAAAAAAAAAAAAAAGAAAAGAAAGCTAATTTCTATATCAAAGATCAGATTCTCCAGACTCTCAAATGGGCTAACTTGGAACATTCTCAGAGCCATGTACTGATGATTTGTATTTTCTGTTATAGAAATGCACTTCCTGTATGGTGAATGTGATCTCCAAACACACCTGATGTGGTCACAGTGATAGCCCTGCTCTGGGCTGGTGTATAGCATGAATAATCCCGGAAGAGGGGCGTGGACCCTTTCTCTCCAAACATTTCTCAAACACAAATTGAAGATGACAATATGTGTGAGGCTTTCAGGGAATATTTACTTGGGGCACATGACATTACAAATGGCAGTGTTTCACTTTTGCTGTCCCTTACATGTGGCTCTTTGGAGGGGCCATCCTTCGGCACCCTGGAGCTCCAGTGGGGAGGTAAGTCCCAAAGACGTGTGGTCTTCTGCTCATGAGCAAGGACCGTGCTTGTTTTTTTCTTTCTTTTTCTCTTTCAATTAATAGTGTACAAGTTGTAATTTAGAAATACATGGATGCCTGTAGATTTTAAAATTGGATTTTAAAAGTTGTGGCAGGGAATACAGGGACCAGCCTTTAATTACAGCTCACACCAACCCTATACTTTGTGATGCCAAGTGGAGGGAGGCATCGCGGCAGAACAGGACTCCCGTAATCTGCATCTCAGGCATCTCACAGTGGGGCTTTCCATTTGTTCTGGAGACAGAACAGAGGAAACAGAAGGGAGGCAGAAGATGCCGACTTGGGTATCTGGGACTCTGAGGATCTTAAAGGCAGCACAGCCCTCAGCGAGTAGAGGTGTTTGGTTGAGGGGTTTCAGCTGACCACTAAACCAGGGCTGTCTGGTCACAGAGTTAATGAACTACTAACGGAATGGAGTACAGTCAATTATACTGCTGGTTTCACGCTGCTGACCTTGAAATCCTCTGGTTATTGAGAAGGTGGCAGGTAGAGAACATTAGTGTTGTATATAGTCAAAACTAAATGAAGAAACTGCACACTCAGTCATATAACATCTGAGGAAAGAAGACCTTTGAGTCACCTGAGCCATTGTCCAGATATGTAGTAGAAATGAGCCAGGCAAACCAGGTGGCTCTGGGTACTTGGTAGCATGTGCTTGGAATGAAGGGTGGTGTTGCTCAGCCCGGCCTCCCTGGGGCTGTAAAGGATGACCCAGGGTTTCTGGATGTTTCCAACCTTCCGGAGACGCTGGAAACCCGGCTTTTTATGTACTGCGCCTTTACTTTTAACTATTGGCAGCTAACCAAAAGTATCCAAAATGCCATGCAGGCCACACTGAGTGTGGCAGTGTTTCACCAGTTGCACCCTGATGTCCTGCAGGCCCTGTTGTTTCACAGCTGTGATAGATGACAAGCTGGCCCGAGAGTCTGCTGCTGGCTTGGCTCAGAGGCTGGCTTTCTTTTATCCCTTAAGGGCTGTTTCCTGGGAATGCTATGGAATGACTTGTGAGTTCTGGGTTTTCCTGGCCAGCAGGCAGCTCACCCTCTAGTATTCTTAAAAGCTTTTCCTGGAAGTCTGCAGTCACGACCGGCTGGAGTTCCCTGAGGTGTGGCTTCTGCTCCTGGGCTCTTGTGTCACAGATGCCAGGTGGAGCTAGATTCTTGGCCTGTTTGTATGTTTTCCCTGGGTCTCAGTGGGCCTTCCCTTAGACCCTGGGACATACTTGCTCAGCGTGAAGGGTGCTGTGTGGATAAATGTGGCAAAGTAGGAAGGAGATCTGGACACTGGCTACAGAGGGGAAAGTTCTGAACAGATTGGGACTCCTGAGTTTCTGCTCTTGGTTTTCAGCTCAACCTGAGACTTCTGCCTTACCCCCCGGGGGGGCTGAAGTGGTGGTGTCTCTGGCACCTTTTCTCAGGGTTCCTGCATCAGATCACCTGTGGGTGGTGGGAAATGTGCCATGTCCCGGCCCCTCCTACCCCACAGAATTAGGATATTGGGGTATGTTCCAGGAACCTGCATGTTAACTGCACCCACAAGGTTGATGGAGGGATGGCAAGGACACTGGGCAGTAGGGTCTTGTGATACTAAGTCATGTTCTGTGGGCCCCACCATGCTCCTGCATAGGCTTGTGTGAATGCAAGCAGATGAGGGCAGGCAGCAGTCAACTGGCTGGTTCCAGCTCATAGCCCAGAACCCAACAGGAAGTATTAAGTGGTGGCCTGCCCCAGGACCAACTCCATGGGTGTGTAACGAGTGCAGCCGCAGAGGGCCCCATATGCAGAAGAGGGCTTGTCACTTGGAATTTAATGCTCTGTGGCTATAGTCTTGAAATTCTTAATTTTATTTCTGAATTTGTATCTTTTAAGCAAAGGCTGATGGGACAGTGGAGCAGGTGCTGAGGGCTTGGCACCTCTGCCTCCCTACTTCCCCATGAT